TGGCAGGTGAGACCTGTAAATGGCAGGTGAGACCTGTACCTGGCAGGTGAGACCTGTACCTGGCAGGTGAGACCTGTACCTGGCAGGTGAGACCTGTACCTGGCAGGTGAGACCTGTACCTGGGAGGAGCTGGGCTGAGGGAAAGATGCGTTCTTGGATGGTCCTGCTCTCAGCCAGGAGTTCCTCGGCCGTCATGGGAAGCTCCAGGGTGTCCCTGATGATCTGAGCAGCATCCAGAGCCTTCTTCCCCATCACCATGGACTTCASGTCCCAGGTGTACCGCTTCCCAAACCTGTCACAGATCTCCTGGAAGGACACCGTGTACAGCCGCTCCGTGTCTGTAAACAAAACAGACAATAAATACATAAATAAATAAAACAGACAATAAATCCAGAAATAAACGCACACAGAGAGTTAACTCAAACTATTTCATCTTCAAACTGTAGGAAATAAATCATGAATACAGAAACATTTGGACATGAACTGCAGCATAACAAGCTAAAATAACAAACTGCTAGCTAAAACCTAAAGTAGCTAAAGGCTAGGTAGAAGCTAAAAGCAACCGAAGGGGAGAAAAACAGAATTATAAGTAAAGAGTAAAAGTAGCTTAAATAAGACAAAAGAATAAATCACAGTTTTGAAGGAGGCGGGGAGAACCTTGTGTATTTCTGTTTTTACATAAAACATTTTGTAATAAAGTTACAAAACCAGGAAGTCTCAACAGTTTTCTCCTAAATGAGCTAAAACACAAAAATAATTTGAAAAAAATAAAATCGACAGCTATACTAACATAGTAAATAATCTGTAAATGTTTTTCTTTATTTCTGATTATAAAGTTAATGTTTATAATTTGTTTGTTTTAATGTCTCCTGTAACAATTCAGGAAGTAATTTAGTTTGTTCCCAGTTTGTAAAGTTTGTTGATAATAAAGAKACAAGCCGAATTAAAGCCTAGATAGTTTTATCCAAAAACAGATGGATGTTTGTCCATAAATACTTACCTTTGTGCAGTAATACAGAAATAACTTAAACCGCGGGGTTTTATTACGGAGGTCTGCTGTAAGAAGGCTACGTTCAGGAAACATGTGAACATATTTAACAGAACTGTCTGAGACTTTAAACAAACACAAGTATAAAACACACAGCTTTAAATACACACCCAACAACAACCCATCCATGTCAAAGATGACATGACTGACAGGTTTGTAGCTGTTTGACACGGACATGTTTCACTCAGGAAGACTTCCGGGTACACGGACAAACAAGAACTAACACGGAAACCAAACCTTTAACACGGACAATAAATAATGACATTAATACAGCAACATCAGAAATATGCTTAATAAAATTACGTGTTTCACACTAAAAATGTTTAAATATTGCCCACAAGTACAAGAGTTTAGTTAAAAATGACCTACAGTGAGCTCAGGTATAGTTTTGTTTGGCCCTTCGCAAAGACTTCTGGGAAATGAAGTCTGCAGATGTTTACCATTCAAATAAAAGAGAAAGCACAGTTTATTCCTTAATATTCATTTATATTTACAACAAACTCATTTCAACACATCTAACAAATGAATTAACTATTGTTTAAATTGGATTAAACGTTTTTTTAAAGAGGTCTATTTAATTAAACATTTGAAAATAATATTTATTATCCCGTATCACTCTTGGTCACCATACTTTCTTTAAAAATCCAGAACTTCTACAAAACTGTTAAAAATAGTCTTTCTTTCTGAAACTGATGGATTTGTTTAATTGTTTTTCAAAAATAYTTCATATTGATGTAAAGTTTGTCCCAAAGAATTAGTTGATAAAAAAACTAAAAAAAGACTAGTTGAAAGCCTCACAGTCAGTGTGGCAAGCAGCACCACCCTGGTCCAGACGAGGTCGCTGCAGGACAATAAAACTGCAGAAAGCATCGGGACAACCATGACCCTATTAAACTCAATGGTCACAGGTTCTTCATTGTTCTGCTTGTTTTACCTTCTTTTGTCTAAAGTTCAGTGTTATGGACTAATTATCTATCTGTTTCACCTTGAAGCTGTCCAGCATTCATATATCTCATGATCAATGCTAATCTATGCTGGCCCAGACAACAGGACTCCACAACAGACTGACCTCTCTTGTTCGATAAGAAACTCTTTGAGCTGGGAGCCCTGTGATAGGCTGGACAGTARATTWGMCGATCTGTGATTGGTTGTAAACTGTCACATGGTGTTAACATAATGTTATATTACTGGCTGCTTTCCGCTGACGTGTCAGCCACAAGCACACAGAGCTTCCTGAMTGAGTCCTGTTTGTTTGTTGCTCAGAATTAAATCGTTATTACGACCATACACGCAGACTTTCTGTGCATTATTCAACGAGTTTCTGCATTCATGCGACGACAGAAATTGGCGTTGTCGGCAGGATGAATGCAGAATTTTTTTGTAAATATCTCCATCTCCATTTTCTGTCACTTATCTGTAGRCAGATCTCAGAGGCAACAGGAGAGAAACACAGCTCCTGCTTTGGTTCTACAGGGACTGGAATAACAACCCAGACCCTCCGTACTCCCACAGCACCCCCTACAGAACGCCTCGAGGAACATGACCATAAGCCTTCTCCAYGTCTYCTAKACACATGTAGACCAGAGAGGCAAACTCCCACGACCRCCTTAGAGACTCTGCAAGGGCAAAGATCTGGTCCACTGTTCCAGGACCAGGACGAATCTGAGGTTCAACGATCGATCAGAGCCTCCCTTCCAACACCCTGGAATGAACGTTCCCATGGAGGGTGAGAAGTGTGATCCCACCACTCTCCATGTCCCACCACATGGTCTCCCACTCCACAGGAGCTGTCCCAGTCCTCCATGATGTTGAAGAGATGTGTCAACCATGACAGCCCCACAACATCCACCATCATCATCATCATCATCATCATCATCAAGTTTATTTACAAAGCACATTTAAAACAACAAGTTGTCACCAAAGTGCTGAACACAAGGCAAAATTCAATACAAAACAAATGACATTTATAAAAATATAAAAAATAAAACAACAACAACAAATACATAACTCACAATCAACCAAAGATCTGAGAAAAGAGGTGTGTTTTTAAAAGAGATTTAAAAACAGGAAGTGACGAGGCCTGTCTAACGTTGGGGGGCAGATTGTTCCAAAGCTTCGGAGCGACGACTGAAAAAGCTTGATCTCCCCTCAGTTTCAGTCTGGTTTTAGGAACGACCAAAAGCATCTGATCAGAAGATCTTAGTGACTGAGAAGGACTGTATGGTTGAAGTAGATCAGAGAGATAAGAGGGTGCAAGGCATTGTTGGCATTTGTACGTGAGCAGGAGAAATTTAAAATCTATTCTAGGATAGAGGATAGAACCYGTGACACATGCTCAAACCTACGAGTTCCTGTTATAAGTCGAGCTGCAGCGTTTTGAACAAGCTGAAGATGTGAAAGGGAGACCTGACTGATCCCAACATAAAGTGCATTGCAATAATCTAATCGACTAGTAATAAAAGCATGTACTATTTTCTCAAGGTCAGGTCTAAATATCGGCTTGAGCCTGGCTATCTGTCATAGCTGAAAAAAACTTTTCTGCAAAACTGAGTTGATCTGCTTGTTAAACTTCAAATCAGAYTCTAAAATCATTCCCAGATTTACAACAGACTGCTTCAAAAACAACTGAAGAGAGCCTAAATTAAATGGAATGGTGTCAGCAGTAGCACAAGGGCTAAACACAACAACTTCAGTTTTCCTGTCACTAAAACTTAAAAAATGGAGCCATCCAAGCCTTAATGTCATCAATACATTTTAACAACTGGGTAGAGTAAGCTCTATTATCAGGTTTCAAGGGCAGGTAGATCTGACAATCATCAGCACGGCAATGAAAAGACAGACCATGTTCCCTTAGAACAGACCCTAAAGGAAGCAGGTATAAAGAAAACAAAAGTGCTCCAAGAATCGATCCCTGTGGAACCCCACAGGAAAGAGGCTCTGAGGCAGAACAGAAGTTTCTAACATTAACACTAAAACGTCTGTGACTWAGGTAGGAACAAAACCAATCTAATGCTGCTCCTGTGATCCCAACCCAGTGTTCTAACCGTGACAACAGGATCCTGTGGTCAGATCCAGAAGTACCAGGACCACAAAGTGACCAGAACCATTTGCCATAAGAATATCACTGTAAACCCTGACCAGAACCGTTTCTGTGCTGTGTAAGTGTTTAAAACCAGACTGAAAGCTTTCAAATAGTCCATTCTCTTTTAAAAAGTTTAATAAAAACTATTTTCTCCAAAGTTTTAAAAACAAATGGAAGCTTTGAAATAGGTCTAAAATTTGCACAAACTGCAGGGRCYAGTCCATTTTTTTATTAAAGGTTTCACCACCACATGTTTAAAAACACCTGGAACTTCATCAGTAGCAATACTGCTGTTTATAACAGCASGAACTGAGGAAGCTACAGGTGGAAAAAATTATTTTAAAAAGTCAGAGCCTTCAGCATCCAGAAGAGCATGAGATTGTTTAAATATTTTGTTTAGAAATTAACTTTTTTTTCTTCTTACAACTTATTTTTTGGTCGTTTCGGCATCTTTTGCTTTATTGTTTTGCAATTTTTCAGCTTTTTAACACATTTGGTTATTTTTTCTATTGATTTTGACTCTGTTTTCCTACTCGTGTCTGTTCAAATGTAACTGATTTTCTGACYTTCAGTTTGTTATTGTACATTTTTTAACTCGACTTCAGCTTCAGCAAAGAGTCTTTGGTCACTGAGCTTTTCCCAGCTGCAGTGACAGGACTGATGGTGGGAGATCAACCAGAACAGGTCTCCTTCTACCAAAGGATGACTKAGATAAGATAAGAACTTTCACACTGTGTTTTCACAGTAAATAATGTGTTCTTACAGGATCTGTGGTTGATCGTTTTTTACAGTTCTGCACAGTAATTGCAGAAGAACTGTTGTGTAACTCTGAACTCTTCACTCTCAGCAGTTCCTCTGTCAGAAGGCATGTGTTCATCTCATATAAAACACAGTGAGTCACGTGATGAGAAGTGTTGGCAGCAGGTCCTGCAGTAATCAGTGAAGCTGCATGTTCCCAGGCTGACATCAGGTGGCTGCATGCATGCACTGCAGAGCAGTGTGTGGCTCTTTTTAAACACCTTCGCTCTGTTTATTGTACAACAACTAAAAATGCTGTTTTATGATTTATTTTCTGACATCGTTTATCTTTTATGGAGGGATTCAAACCTCCTTTTTCACATGATGCTAAAAAAGAAAAGCATGAAATTGTCATCAGTGGAGAGGCTGGAAGCTGCAACACATGGTGACTTTATTTATTTATGACAAAAACAATCCGACAGTCAGTGGAATTCAATTAAATTTTATTTAATTTATGTATTTATTCATTTAATTAAAAACACATTTCACACAACAAGACAATGC